CTCTAGTGTCTTCCGAAATTCTCTAGTCTCTGTCGAGCGGCTTGCAAACTGCTTTCAAATTTTCTAGTCTCTATCGAAATTCTCAAGCCTCTTTCCAACGGTTTGCCACTTCTTCTGAAACTTTCCATTTCCTTTCGAGCGGGTTGCTCCTTGTCCTGAAATTCTCTGTCTCTTTCGAGCGGTTTGCTCCTTGTTGAGCGGTTTGCTCCTTGTTTTCAAACTCTTTAGTCTCTTTCGACATTTTCTAGTCTAGTCTCTTTCGAGAGGTTTGCTCCTTGTTCTGAATCTCTCTATAATTCTTTTCGAGCTGTTCGCTCCTTGTATTCAAACTCTCTAGCCTCTTCCGAAATTCTCTGCTCTCTGTCGAGCAGCTTGCTCCTTCTTCTGAAATTCTTTAGTTCCTTTAGAGCGGCTTGCTCCTTGTTCTGAGATACTCTAGTTCCTTTCGAGCGGTTTGGTCTTTGTTTTCAAATTCTCTGATCTCTTTCGAAATTCTCTAGTCTCTTTCGAGCGGATTGCTCCTTCTTCTGAAAGCCTCTAGTTCTTTTCGAGCGGCTTGCTCCTTGTATTCAATTTATCTAGTCTCTTTCGAAATTCCGAAATCTGTTTCGAGCGGTTCGCTCCTTGTTCTGAAATTCCGTAGTTCTTTTCGAGCGGTTTGCTCCTTGTTTTCAATTAGTGTATTTTCGGAATCCTCGCGTCTCTTTCGAGCGGTTTGCTCCTTGTTCTGAAATTCTGTAGCTCCTTTCGAGCGGTGCGCTGCTTGTTTTCAAGAATTTGAAAGTCTCAAGCCTCTTTCGAAATTCTCTAGTTCCTTTCGAGCGGTTGCTCCTTCTTCGGAGATTCTATGGTTCCTTTCGAGCAGTTTGCTCCTTGCGTTGAGTTTACCTAGTCTCTTTCGGAATTCTCGAGTCGCTTTCGAGCGGCTTGCTCCTTCTTCTGAAATGTTCTAGATCCTTTCGAGCGGTTTGCTCGTTGTTTTATATTCCTCTAGTCTCTTTCGAGCGGCTTGCGTCTTGTTCTGATATTCTCCACCTCTTTTCGAGCGATTTGCTCCTTCTTCTCAATTTCTCTAGTTCCTTTCGAGCGGTTTGCTAATTGTTTTCAGATTCTCTAGTCTCTGTTGAAAATTCTCTAGTCTCTTTCGAGCGGTTTGCTCCTTCTTCTGAAATTCTCTAGCTCCTTTCGAACGGTTTGCTCCTTGGCTTCAAGTTCTCTAGTCTCTCCTTCCTCTGCAATTATCTAGTTCCTTTCAAGCGGTTTGCTCCTTGTTTTCACGTTGTCTAATCTCTTTCGAAATTCTTTCGTCGCTTTCGAGCGGAGTCCTCCTTGTTCTGAAACTCTCTCTAGTTCCTTTCAACCGGTTTGCTCCTCGTTTTCAAACTCTTTAGTCTCTTTCGAAATTCTCGAGCCTCTTTCGAGCGGTTCTTCGCTAGTTCCTTTTCGACTGGTTTGCCCCTTGTTCTCTAGTCATTTTCTAACCTCTTTCGGGCGGATTGCTCCTTGTTCTGAAATTCTCTAGTTCCATTCGCGCGGTGCGTTCCTTGTTTCAAACCCCCTAGTCTCTTTCGAGCAGTTTGCTATTTTGTCCGAAATATTCTAGTTCATTTCGAGCGGTTTTGCTGTCTGCTTTCAAATTGTCCAGTCTCTTTCGAGCGTTTTGCTGCTTGTTCTGAACGTCTCTATACTATAGTTCGTTTCGAACGGTTTGCTCCTGGTTTGCACAATCGCTAGTCTCTTTCGAATTTCTCAAGTCTTTTTCGAGCGCTTTTGAGATTCTATAGCTCCTTGCGAAGTCTCTAGTCTCTTTCGACGATTTGCTTCTGGTTCTAAAATTCCCTAGCGCCTGTTGAGCGGCTTGTTTTTTGTTTCAATATCTCTAATCTTTTCCAAGCGGTTTGCTCTTTTATCTGTCCCTTTCGAGCGGTTTGTCCTTGTATTCAATATCTCTAGTCTCTTTCGAGCGGTTCGCTCCTGCTTCTGAATTCTTTTAGTTCCTTTCGAGCGGTTAGCTCTTTCTTCTGGAATCCCCTAGTCTTTTTCGAAATTCTGTAGTCTCTTTCGAGCGGTTTCCCCCTTCTTCTGGAATTCTCTATTTTCTTTCGAGCGAGTTGCTCCCTGTTTTCAATTCTCTAGTTTCTTTCGAAATTATTTAATCTCCTTCGAGGGGTTTGCTCCTTCTTCTGAAATTCTCAAGTTCCTTTCGGGCGGCTTGCTCCTTGTTTTCCACCTCTCTAGGCTTTTATTTCGAAATTCTCTAGTGTCTGTAAAATCGAATTTAAACCCTGCAAGGACCAAAGCCTCGGCATTTTGATTCGAATTTAAGGACCCAAGCCTGAGCATTTTCGCTCGAATTCAAAACTTGCGGCGAGGACAACTTGCAGAGTTTAATTTGGATCTAAGCTGCAGTCGGCACTCCCGGATTAAATTCGAATAAAACCCTTGCATTGGAAACGGGCTTAAAACCCCAATGTAAAACCCCCAACCCATGGGAGATTAAATTCAAATCC